GCAGCCCATTCCAATGAATGTCCGCGCACACACAAGCACATCACCCACATGATGTGAAGACTTAAAATGTATCTAGACCAAAAACAAAAAATATACATGTATTTTGCAGTCTTTAGATGAGATCACTTCATTGATTTTCCTATTTTGTTCAGTTTTTCTTTTATTTTCACCTGGTTATTATGCAAAAAATGCACTCTTCTTGGATTTAACAATCCTCAAAATCAACCCTGTTGCCTGCTACACTCATTGGTTCCATCCACCAACTACTATGTTCTGTAGTGACATGGAGGTCAGCAGCAGCAACCACTAAACACAGCAAGGACCAGGAGATTGACACTCCCCAAAGTCACAGTTTTTGAAGAAACTTCAGTACATGATATCTTTCCAACAGAGCAGAATTCAGTGGTGCAAGCAATGTCTATGGTGAGTATTAACTATCCTCTTTTGCAGGGACATATTTTTGGCCAATTGCAGTTTTGCAACAGGGTCACTTTAAATCTTTTACTGCTGCCAATATAAATATTATATCAATGGTAGTACCGGTATGTTAACAAACTCCAAGTCACCATAGCAGTTTACCGTTTCTATGCAGTCTAGTAGAAGTGATTGGGGTGGCTCTCTTTTACACTGTGCAGGAGATCAGCATCAGGTGTGCATTTGTATGAAAACAACAACTGCATCACACATGTTAGATCTCAACATGCTTGCCAGAGTGAGAGCAATCATTCTCGGGCCACCATTCTCTGTTAAAGTGTCATTAAACTCAAATCTTTTTCAGTGTTTTTTTTGTTTTAAATTAGGTAACGATAACCATATACACTGGCTGAAAATTCGTTTGATCGAGAAAAGGTTTCCTTCCTTCCTTCCTTTCCTTCGAATTTTTCTGTCACTCCTGTCAAAAACAAACATCAATCTGACCCCACTAGCGATTAAAAAATCAAATGAATGTTCTTGAAACGAATATTCCCAGCTGAAAATCTACACGTGTATGGCCAGCCTTAGGGTAGGTTCACATTTGATCGCACTTGAGCAGGTGGTTACGGGTGCTGAATCTGTAGCTTTTCCTGCACCTGCAGCCAAATCTCACTGCTTTGTAGAAACGCACGGGGCTTCCATTCCTTCTTAATGGCACCCCCAAGCATCTGAACCCAGAGCGCGTTTTCAGGTTGCAAAAACACAATGCAATTTCCCGAGGCCTAGTTTTTCAAAAAAGGTGCAAACACCTTTTTTTGGCATGAAATGCAACCACGGCAGCCCATTCAAATGAATGGGCTGCCGTGCCCACGCACATGCGGGCCGCAAACCCGCACAGGTGTGAACCTGGGGTCATACAAGAGTGAAGAAAGATGCCTCCACTTATGGGCTTCTAATGATACTTGCTGAATCCGCCACTTCTGATTGGCTGTAAGTAATGACAGCTTCCTGGCAGGATAGCTCAGGCAGGTTTGGAGTGACATTCCTGAGCTCTTCCCTAGTCATTAGCAACTAAACTTTGAAGTTTTGATTCAGGATAGGAGTGAACGACTCTAAACTGTAAAGTGTTTTGTTGTTTTTTGAAGTCTCTTTGCATATATATATACAGTATATCACATTATGAGAGCTTTGGCACACATACTGTGTGAAACTAGTATGGCATAAGCTGGTATTCCATCACTAGTGTGACAAAATGTATAATGGTAATAGTAGGCAGTGAAATGATACATTTTGTAAATAGTATTCATGAACTATTTTGTTTTATTATTCCTGTAAAGGCTTTCAAATTACCCACTGTAAGCAGGAGCTCATATATTTTTCATTGCAGTGGGATTGCATCTAGCAAAATGTGAACACTGCCGATTTCAAAAGAATTTATAAAAGAAATGGCAGAAAGTAAATATTTACAAAGTTGAAAACTTTACTGCTCTTTTGGATTTATATTTTTAATGGATTTTGAATTTACATAAAATATTTCTTATTAATAAGGCACCAATGTTTTATGCAGCTCTACACACTACAATCACCAGACAAAAGAAGGTAAAATTCCCACGCAGGGCATACGGGACAGGCACACTTGAGATTACAATATAAAGGGAGCACAGCAGCAGGAATGATTGATTGGGGGCAAAGAGGAAAATAGGTGGAGGAATTTGTAGAAGTAGGTTTTACAAGAGTTGTATAAAAGCTGAAGCTGGGTCAAGGATAAATAAGAACATTCCAGAGGGCTGAGGCTCCTCTAGAGAAATTGCAGCCTGTACATTGTAGATCTATTCACCTAATGCAGCTGTTTTTTTTTAGCTTTACTTTCTATACATCTACTCTACACTGGGCTTCTGTGTAGCTCTGCTCTTCTGTTTTAAGTATATTCCTGTAATTTTTTGTTTCAAAAAGTACAGCATTAAAAACAGTATTAAACCCAAAATCAATGTGAACCCCTTGGGATTACGTGGAGTTTTGCATGAATTGGGCATAAAACGTGCTCTGAACGTCATCTAAGTCACAACAATAGAAGAACACAGTCTGCTGAACATAATACTACACAAACATTAGATGTTGCCATGGTTTAATTGCACATAACATGTAAACATTCACAGTGCAGGGAGGAAGAAGTATGTGAGGCCCTAGCTTAATGACTTCTCCCAGAGCTAATTGGAGCCAGGAGTGAGCCAACCTTGACTCCAATCAGTGTGATGATATTGGATGTGTTGCTGACAGCTGTCCTGCCCTTAAAAAGCACACACCTGTTTTGAGTTTACTAGTTTCAAGAAGCACTGTCTGATGTGAACCATGCCTCGCAGAAAAGAGCTCTCAGAAGACCTACGATCAAGAATTGTTGACTTGCATGAAGCTGGAAAGGGTTACAAAAGTATCTCCAAAAGCCTTGATGTTCATGTGTCCACGTAAGACAGACTGTCTACAAATGGAGAAAGTTTAGCACTGTTGCTACTCTCCCTAGGCGTGGTCGTCCTGTGAAAATGACTGCAAGAGCACAGCGCAGAATGCTGCATGAGGTAAAGAAGAATCCCAGAGTGTCAGCTAAAGACCTACAGAAATCTCTGGCACATGCTAACATTTTTGTTGACACATCTACAATAAGGAAAACATTAAACAAGAATGGAGTACATGGGAGGACACCACGGAGGAAGCCATTGCTGTCCAAAAAGAATATTGCAGCACGTTTGAAGTTTGCAAAAGAGCACCTGGATTTTCCACAGCACTACTGGCAAAATATACTGTGGACAGATGAAACCAAGATTGAGTTGTTTGGGAAGAACACACAACACTATGTGTGGAGAAAAAAAGGCACAGCACACCAACATCAAAACCTCATCCCCACTGTAAAACATGGCGGAGGAAGCATCATGGTTTGGGGTTGCTTTGCTACCTCAGGGCCTGGACGGATTGTTGTCATTGATGGGAAAATGAATTCCAGAGTTTATCAAGACATTTTGCAGGAAAACGTACGGCCATCTGTCCGCCAATTGAAGCTCCGCAGAGGATGGGTGATGCAACAGGACAATGACCCAAAGCATACAAGTAATTCAACAAAACAATGGCTGCAACAGCACAGAATACGCCTTCTGGAGTGGCCCAGTTAGAGTCCTGACCTCAACCCGATTGAAATGCTGTGGCATGAGCTTAAGAGAGTGATTCACACCAGACATCCCAAGAATATTGCTACACTGAAACAGTTTTGTGAAGAGGAGTGGTCCAAAATTACTCCAGATCGTTGTGCAGGTCTGATCTGCAACTACAGGAAACATTTGGTTGAGGTTATTGCTGTCAAAGGAGGGTCAACCAGTTATTAAGTCCAAAGGTGCACATACTTTTTTCCTCCCTGCACTGTGAATGTTTACATGTTATGTGCAATTAAACCATGGCAACATCTAATGTTTGTGTAGTATTATGTTCAGCAGACTGTGTTCTTCTATTGTTGTGACTTAGATGACGTTCAGAGCACGTTTTATGCCCAATTCATGCAAAACTCCACGTAATCCCAAGGGGTTCACATACTTTTTCTTGCAACTGTATGCTTAGATGTGATGGCTGCATTCGTTTTTTTTTTTAGTCTTTTTTTCTTCTATTTTTATCTAGTGGTCCAGCGCGTAAGTCTGTTGTTTTTCAAAAGCACAAGCTCTCTTCCAGATGTATCAGTTTACAAAGATAAGACAAACCATTTAACACTGGCAGGGGTGCCTATAATGATCAGCTTTTATTTATTCAAGTAAAACATTTATCCCAAAAGGGAACAAAAAATGTTTGCTTTAAAGTGTTACTACACCCACAACAGTAAAATCAGCCTGTATATGCATTAAGCATGCTTGTTATACTCACTGTGGAACCTAAGGGGTTAATCCTCAGCATTGTGTAAAAAGGCTGTTTTGATCCTTTCTTCTCTGCCCCTCCTCTTGTTGAAATGACCACCTGATACAGACTGAACCCGTAGTCACATACACATGCTCAGTTTGGTGTGTATTGATAGAGAGGTTTTTTTTTTCTTTGGAGAGTACATGTGACCAGCACAGGGCCAATCAGCACTGCCCAGACAGAGGGTCAGGGGGTTTTACATCCTCCTAGAGCAGAAAGAAAACTCCTCCTACAAACTTTAACCAGTGCTCTGCTGAAGTCATAAGACTTATATTATTATATTTACAAATTTTTAAATATTTATACTAAATATTTATAATTGCATTTTCATGTTGTGCGTACTGTGGGAGACCAGTTATAGTGAATGCAGGGTCCGGGGAGACCAGATATAGGGAATGCAGGGTCCTGGGAGACCGAATATAGTAAATGCAGGGTCCGGGGAGACCAGATATAGTGAATGCAGGGTCCGGGGAGACCAGATATAGTGAATGCAGGGCCCGGGGAGACCAGATATAGTGAATGCAGGGTCCGGGGAGACCAGATATAGGGAATGCAGGGTCCTGGGAGACCGAATATAGTAAATGCAGGGTCCGGGGAGACCAGATATAGTGAATGCAGGGTCCGGGGAGGCCAGATATAGTGAATGCAGGGCCCGGGGAGACCAGATATAGTGAATGCAGGGTCCGGGGAGACCAGATATCGGGAATGCAGGGTCCTGGGAGACCGAATATATAGTAAATGCAGGGTCCGGGGAGACCAGATATAGTGAATGCAGGGTCCTGGGAGACCGAATTTAGTAAATGCAGGGTCCTGGGAGACCGAATATAGTAAATGCAGGGTCATGGGAGACCAGATATAGTGAATTCAGGGTCCAGGGAGATCAGATATAGTGAATGCAGAGTTCTAGATTTAGTAACTGATTATAAAGTGTGAGGTGGACTTTGACTTAAATTTGTTAGTGTATTGAAATCTGCTAGTACATCTAACCTTCTCCTACATCCAGACTGACAATGCTACTGTCCAAAAGGTGCTCTGTGCTCTTGCATCCTGAGTGGGAGGCACTCTAATACAGGAGGTGTGTTGCTGGCCAGATCATCAAGTGAACATAGAGCGATCTGCTGATTGCTGGTGCAATGCTTTACAGGTTTCTGCAGCCAAAAATAATAAATGCACATTTTTTTTGTACCTGCAAAAAATGTGCAATTATTGTTTTTCGTGCAAAAGGTGAACTTATTCTTTACATACTCTAAGACCTTGAGTTATACATAAAAATCCTAACAAGTAAAGGTCAATCCTGAGAGTTCTCATGTATACTTACATAAACTATATGATGTCAGCAGTATGTGCGGACATCTGACAGCAATGCACGGTTTTTATGGTAGTATAAACAGCAGACAGAGGGTATTAATATGGCCCTTAGTAATAATTTCATTCTGTTTGCTGCCATATAACAGTTACAGCACACCAAATTTACAGCGAAGACAGGCCATCTATATTCCCCGCCCCATCCAATTCAGGTGCTGACTGTATAAAGCATTTTCTCACCACCGACAATTAGAACTGTTGCTACTGTATGGCAATACATGGAAGAAACCAAGAGTGGCTACTGGACAGCTTTTTACGCTGATAACTGTGGTTAAACATTTATAGAATATAATTCTAGGCCATTTTGCATAGTATAATACTAGCTTTTACAACGTACACTAAGTCCATTATGCAAGAATGTAGCTAATGTGCATGATAAACAGCCCAGAGAATTGTAAATGTGCCTTTGGCAACAGGAAGAAAATATAAATTGTTAAACTGAGCTTGCTGAGTGATTCCTAAAATTTGCCCTGATGAACAAATATTGGGAAGAGTAATAAACATTAAAAAGAAAACACTGTGATAGCTTATTTGGCTTTAATGGATGTATATTGTTTAATAAGCAGCTACTGTATGTTTTTACTGTACAGAATAGGGCATAGGTCTGGCATTTCATTATTGCAAGGCATGGGTTTACACTGGGGCTGAGGTGCACACAGATTTCACCAGAAGGTTTTTTGGGTTATTGTATAGCACCTACAAGGCACAGTTTTCAAGTCTGTCCCATTGGTGACCGATAATGGGCAGAACAGGGGCGGACTGACCATTTGGAAACTCGAGCACTGCCCGAGGGCCCAGAGTCAGTAGGGGGCCCCATGAGATGCCCCTGGTACCTTTTTTCATAGGCTTTTGGCAAGGACACAAGGGCCCCATGATCCCCTATTGCCCGGGGGCCCCATGAGTTGTCAGTCCGCCCCTGGGGCAGAATGGCAACTTTTTTCAAACAATAGGGCATTATAGTGGCTAAGTGGTTAGTATTTCCACCTGGCAGCACTAGGGTTGTCGGTTTGATTCCCAACCATGGCACTAATCCTGAACTTCTGCACAGTATTTGCATGTTCTCCCTGTGCCTACGTGGGTTTCCTCTGGGTACTCCGGTTTCCACCCACACTTCAAGACATGCTGGTAGGTTCTATGGCTGCTGTCTAGATTGGCCCTAGTATATGCATATATGAAGGTGAGTTAGGGACCTTAGATTGTAAGCTCCTTGAGGGCAGGGACTGATGTGAATGTGTATCTCTTAGATTGTAAGCTCCAAGGAGCAGGACCCTCCTAACCCTCTTGTATTGAACTATATCGTTGCTGTATTGTCTCCCGTTATATTGTAAAGCGCTGAGCAAACTGCTCTATTGTATAGCGCTCAGCGCTATATAAATCCTGTATAATAATAATAATGTGCTGTGTAAATTGGCATTGCTATGTAAGTACCTTAAAGCAGAGTTCCAGCCGTTTTTGTGTTTATTAAAAGTCAACAGCTACAAAAACTGTAGCTGCTGGCTTTTAAAAACCACTCACTCACATGTCCTGAAGTCCAGCAACGTTCTCACCCACGCCGTCCCTCCTCTCCTTCTCTCCTCCACAGCACCGGCATCTTTACTGTGGGCACCAGGCTGTGACAGCTTGCGGCTTCACAGCCTGGTGCCCACTGTGCATGCGCGAGTCCCACTGCGCCTTCTAATTGGTCCAGCAGTCTTCTGGGACCTGTGAAAGTTCCCAGGAGACTGCAGGAGGGAGGAGGGGCCTAAACTTCCGACTCAGTTCTCTACACTGCGTTACTTAAACTGACAATTGCACCCAAATGGCATTTATGTCCTTTTTTCCTACAAATGGAGCTTTCTTTCAGTGGTATTTGATTACCTGTGCTTTTTTTATTTTTTGTGTTATAAGCAAAAAAAACCTACAATTTTGAAAAAAAAACTTTATTTTGGACTTTTTGCTATTAAACATGTCCAGTAAAAAAATTGTAAAAAATCAAATTTCATCATAAATTTAGGCCAAAATGTATTCTGCTACTTGTCTTTGCTATAAAAATCCCAATACATGTAAATTAATTGGTTTACCTGAAAGTTATAGCATTTACAAATGGCAATATAGATAATGGAATAAAAAAAAATGTATACTAGTAATGGCGGTGATCAGCAACTTATAGCTGGACTGCAACAGGCATTCTGACACTGGGGGGAACTGACTGTCACTGACATCCCCAGTGACACTAATACAGTGATCAGAGCTAATAAAAAGCCCTGACACTGTACTAATGACACTGGGCAGGAAAGGGTTAACATCTGGGGTGATCAAAGGGTTAACTGTGTGTTGTGTGTTTCATTATGTAAGCATGCTGCTTTATATTGCTGTGCTATGCAGAGCAATACAAAGCAGCATGCTGCTGCTGACAGGGGAGAGATCTGTGTTGTTTACATACAGACCTCTCCCCTGTCAGTGTTCCTTGGCGATTGCCGGGTGTCGGCGGAGAATCTCCGGCTGGGACCTGGTGATCGACAGCTGTAGCTGCCAATGGCCAATGGAAATCGACAGCTGTAGCCTACCCGAAAATCAGAATCATGTATATATACGTGATTTTGTGTACCCTGCTGCCCTGTAGTTCTGCTATAGGGGAAGCAGGGAAGTGGTTAATACCCTTTCACACAATCTTGATTGTTGCCATAAACCAAACACAAACCTTTAAGAGACACAATGTTACTTGTTCTCAAAATAGCCACCAGGAAAAATGAAGTATACATATGCACAGTTTGAAAGAAAAGATTAAAAAATTGTTTACTCTGCAATTATTTTTTTCTCACTTAGAATTATGATTTCACAACAGCAAACATAGGCAACTGCCTGTGAAAACTAATAAAAGTCATTTTCTCTGAAGTGGTACCAGAAGCTGTCCGTAAATTACCCCGACTTCTGGGGTATGGGAAAAACAGGCACTTTTTCTCCTGCTTCCTGCAATGTAACAAGGCTTTTGCGGCAATAGCTGTAATGCTTCTAGCATCCTTTAGCAACCTATGGTGCCTTTTTTACAGGGGCACTTTATACTCATTTTGTTCAATGCATATGTAAAGTAAGGTTGCTGTGCACATAGTGCTCTTTATTTACAAAACACACATCTACTGTTTTGTCCATTCTACTGAATCATTCATTACTAACTATAAGGCAGGACCAGCCACAGTCTGTTTAGCTGTCTGAATTGATAGTATTATGATCAGTAGATGTGGCTAGCCTTTAAGCCTAAAAATCTGGTGCTAAAATATGTCCCTAACTTCATACCTTGGCCTGAGATTGAGGGTGGGACCAAGACAGAAAATTAAAGGGTATGTAGCGCTACCTTTGTGAGGGTCGCTGTGGTTCTAGGTACCCCTACGCTCTGCCCAGACAGGCAAAACACATTTTCCACACTTGCATCCATAGTCAGTGAACAGTCCTTGAACTTGGTTTTTGTTATTTTATTTGGGGAAATAACTTGGATAGGGTAAAAGACTGTTCTTTTCCTTGAAAGCTGTCAGTCTTTGTGGATCAGTAGCAACTTACGGGCGTGGAACTCGCAGTCCCTCCGAAAAATCAGCTCAACGTGTCAACTACATGCAGAGATGTCTCCTCTCCCCGGTAGAGCTGCTCCCAGCTCCACAGCCTGCAGACATTACCATCCCTCCTGGCTGCTCTGGAGATCTCCCAGGACAAGAATAAAGAATTAATCGCAACACTCTCCTTTGAAAACTTGTTACATGTGACAGTCTCTTCCCTTGTGAATCCCTGGGTGTGCTGATGTACTCACTCTGTCCTCCTTGCTCCCACTGCTCTCAGGCCTTGATCCTGTTCATACTGTACTGCTAAATAGACTCTCCTGAGCCAGCCTGGAGGCCAGCCCTCCCCTAGATGTAGGGGACCCTTCTCAGGCCACCGACATTCTCCTCAGCTCTTCATCTTCCACCCAACTCCCCCAGCCGGCCTGACTATCCCATATTTATAGGCTGGTCCACCACTCACTCTACCAGGGCCTCCAAACCTGGGATTGGTTAGACTCCCATAAACAGGCAGATTAGGTCTCCACTTCTTCTGCCTGCTGGCTTCTGGAATGTTCCAGTGTTACTCCAGAACCAGGTGGAGGCAATAGAGTCCCAACCTGTTAAGTCATCCAGCTTCACCTGCAGTAACCCAACCTTAATCACAGACTCACACAGTTACCATGAGTCATACATAATACATTTGCCTACACTATTCTAGTAGCATGCTATAGGGTGCTACGGGTATAATAGCACCGCACTGCTCAGGGAGACAAGCACTCTTGATTAAAGCACTGTTTAGGGGACAAGTTGGAACACTGCATTCTGTGTTGAGCAGTGGTCTGGATCTTCAGTGTGCTGCCAGGACAGAGAGTTTTAAGCTTAGCTACAGCACAACAGTACATTAAAAAGAAAAAAAAAAAAAGATGCCCACATCTATTACAGTTAATGCATGCTGACTGCATTATAGGAATAAAAAAAACTTGGGCTTTAACACACAACCTTAACCATAATACTCAGCATTTAATCACTGAAAACATAACACTAACCTTACCTGTAACCCAAATCCATGACCTTCATACCTACATTGTTATTACCAATTGTATCTGGCAATTCTGTGTTAGGATTGTTGCCAGAATCTCCTGGTCCTTATGCCAAAAACCAGCAGATGCAGGTGCTCAGAGTTAAAAGGCCTTTCCTGATACTCTCTGATTTCTATATATTATTTTGCAGTCATGGAAGGATTTGCTGTCAGAAAAAACTATGATACTATATAGCAATTTAGACATGTGATACACAACAATTACAATTTCCTATGGTATTTTAATATGCTAATATGCGCCTTTTCTTTCAGCAGGATACAGGTGGCATAAATCGTGCGGTAACAGTGTAACAGAAGTTCTGATAAAGAAAACATGCCGTTGCCAGAAATAAGTGAAAACAACAAAAGCAAGGAATTTTCTCAAGAAATGATGAGTCTGCAGGTAAATAATACCATTTTTTATTTATGAAGATACTCAACCTTCCAAAAATGCTGCACTTCTTCAAACAGTAAGCATGACTAATTTCATCAAAAATGCAGCAATCCTTATACTCATGACCTGAAACCAGGTACTGGATTATTAAGCCCTGCAGCTAAATTTATCATATTGTATTCTTTATCTGCATATTGTTTACCAAGCCAAGACTTAGATTACCTACTCCTGAAAGAACACGTAAATCACAAATGGGACCTGATTTATGAACAATGGACCAGGGAAACTACATTAAATATGAAGTGGTTGCCCTTAGCAATTAGCCTGTGTACATAAAATGAAAAACAGAATGTAAACTAGAGTTAAAATCAAGCTGTGGACAATAACGCTTCAAATGACTTAACTTTTGGGATAGTTTTTAATACTGCACAACAGGGCAATAAATCGAAGTGTAAAATAATCATGCATAAATGTATTTTGTATGCAGTTGCCTTTTTTGTCTAAGTTCCCTATGACCTATGGCCATGGCTACTTTATTTGGGTTTTAAAACAGAATATGAATAACCTTGAGCTTTTAATTTTATCAGACCTTTAACACTGAACATAAAGACCAATACCACTGTTAAAACTTTCACCAAACCACCTACTCAGTCCTTTTCGATTCAGGCACCAAATATGTGTACCAGCCACCAGGTCAGGGGCGGACTGACCATTTGGAAACTTGGGCACTGCTCGAGGGCCCGGGGTCAGTAGAGGGCCCCATGAGATGCCCCTGGTACATTTTTGATAGACTTTTTTTGGGTTTGGGCAAGGACACAGGGGTCCCATGATCCCCTATTGCCCGGCGGCCCCATGAGTTGTCAGTCCGCCCCTGCACCAGGTAGCACCATAAACACTGTCCACCCAAACCTGTTGGGTGACATGCCCCCCCTGCAGATGTTGGCATCTATAAAGGAAAATACTTCATCCCCATTCGTTGCTTGCTTTACTTTCAAATTTTGCTTCTAAGCATTTTTTGTTTAATTGTCCTGGATTAAAGTAGAGATGATCTTCTTGCAATAGTTGTCTTCTGTGCCTTTTTATCAGTAACCAGGAGGTGAGGTGGGGGGCAGGGGGGAGAGTTCCAGAACCTGAAAAGATAAACAGAGAAAGCCAGCAGAAAAATTCTGTACCTTTTTATTGTGCTAAGCCAATTAAATTTGTGAACCATGGAAGAGTTAACAGGAAGAAAAGGAGGGGTTGGTTGTAGGGGGTGACAAGTCCCATGGGAACACTTAGCCCGTGTCCCTAACATGGGACTGTACAACCCCACAAAAGACAACCCTGATTCCAACCACACCTTAACTGTCTGATCAGTCATGATAATAAAGAGAACCAGGACACTGAAGTGTGAAAAATTATGGCCGCGGAACCTTTATTTGGATTTTAAAACAGAAACCACCTGCTCAGTCTTTCACATTTACGGCTTTTGCTGATTGCCTAGAGTTCAATTTTAAAGTAAAATTATTAGTTGCCCGTTATTATCAGGAGTTTTTTAAAATGTATGTCAAAACTTAAAAAAAATGTTGTAGATCTCTGCAATACATGCATATTTTCCTGTTTTTATCCTTTTAAAGACTCAAGTTCAGGAAAATACCTGTTCATCTGCCAAAAATGCACTCAGCTCCCAAGTCCTGTTGTGGGCTGACAGCACATAGTATTTTTGTGAACTAAGTGGTGTCAGCCCTGCTCAGTTGTCTTTTGATAAGCTACTCAAGCCCACCCTCTATCCTATTTTCCATAGTATATAGACTAATAATTCAGTAGTCCCAAGATACTAACTAGAAGGACTAATTAGACTCCTTAATATAACACAAGAAAGGGCACTGGATACAAGATGGCTCTAAATTTCTGATATGATCGGTAGATATTTTGTACTTATCGAAGAAATTTAACAAAACACTTTCAATGGCCAATATAACACCAAAAGGTAGCAAGTAAGAAAAGTGAATTGTTATGGTTTGCTTGCACTTTAGCAGTGGTGTGGTGTGATTTACTAATTACATCATGAAAGGCCTTGGCCAGGTGTGCTCTATCCTCATATGTACAGTAGTTCGTCTAAATTGTTATATTTGCCTGGAGTGAACATTTCAGAAACACCCTGCCGCTTCCTTTGTAGCTTTGCAATAAAAGTGCAATGGAAATGTACACATCAAAAGGAAAATTCAAGCAGGTCTTGATAATCAGGTGGATGTATGCATCGATTATATTTTAACAGGAGGCTCTAGAACACCACAGACCAGACTTTATCTGTAATTCCCAAGAACGCATACACAAACTGGAGCTCATGGCACGACAGAGAAGAACACAGGTGGAAGAAGCACCAGGGCCAAGACTTCAAGCAAAACCGATTCACCTGAGAAAGAAAGTGTTCACTGTTCCCCATCCTCTGAGTGGTTAGTACATTAGATATTTCTGCTTTATGTATATTCACAGGTTTACCCAGGGCCGTGCATAACAGGGTACCACCAGTCCTCCTGTACGGGGCCCAGGCCAGCCTGGGCAAATGTGATGTGGGCAGGGAGGGTGATCAGCATGGCGGGGGGGGGGGGGGGCAATTACTAGAACCGATCCCCTGTATGGCTTTCTCTGCAGCAGCAGAAAGCTTGCTTCTTCTCCCTCCTGGATTTCAGCTGCTACAGAGAACCATACAGGGGATCGGTTTCAGTAATTGCCCCCAGCCGCACTCATCACCCTCCCATATGTTTCCCCCTGCTTCCAAGGCCCCTCCTGTGTGCCCCCACCCCCACAGTGCTGCCAGCTTCCCTCCTTTCCTTTCCACTGGCAGCTGCAATCATACAATAGGATCGTTCAGGATGGAGAGTAAGGGAAAGGTCTGGTAAATGTTACATTTACCATCCCCTTCTCCCCTTCCTTTCCTGAATGAACACAATGAGTGATCTGAACCAATCGCTCACTGTGTTCATTCATAACTGAAGCCTAGTAAACTGTTTTTTTTTTGCGGGGGGGGGGGGGGCCAGGTTGGCCGTATGGGTCCCCGTGGTTTCTAACAGCAGCCCTGGGCTTATCCAACTACTAGTAGTATAGGCTAGGTTATTGACTCCATGGGTACATTGGCTTTATGACATTAAGTACTCTTTTACAGATTCAACAGTCATCGGAAAGGAAGACAATGTGTCACAGGAAAAACATTTACAAATGTCCCCTTCATTTCTGTTCCATTGGTTCAGAATGTTGAATTTACCCTTACTTTTATTCTCTGTGACATTGGTGATCTGGACATTTACATGAAGCAAATCTAAAAAGGACACATACAGCAATAAAAACCTGTCAGTGGTTAAGTCCATCACACTGCTCTATCTGAATATAAAAAAGTAAGTTTTGTCCTTAGTTTATCATTAAAAGAGATGTATGGACTTTAAAAAAAAAACATTTATACTCACCTAGGTGGATGCAGCATTGATCTGATGCTGCATTTGTCTCCGGCCAGCTCTGTAGTGAGAACTGAGCGATCAAAGACCACTGATTGCTCAGTTCTCCACTCCCTTCTGAGCAGAGTGCTGCGACTGACAGTCTCTGGCTCTCTGCTCTGCCTCCCGAGCGCTCACTGGAGCGCTGTGCTGTGGAGGAGGCGGGAGTGGCTGGCTCATGGCAGGTTTGTTGAAAGGCTGAGTCAGGTGCCAGTCCAGACTTCTGAGTGGATCATATGGGATATGGGATCTTTTCAGAGCCTGGACTGGCTGAGTGAAATCAGCTGACAGCGGACTTTAGCCCATTTTTGGCAGCAAATGGGTCACAAGAGTGCAGTAAGAACTGCACTCCTGTGACCTACAGGGGAAGTATAACCAAAATAGCTTTGGCAATGAAGACACTTTGAAGCACCACTAAAGCGACATGGGGTATCATTTCTGAAGCAAAGCAAATACAACATGTAAACAGGACTGTAAGTGTACCATTATATTTAGTGGCAGATGCTTTGATTGAGTGTTTTAACCACCTCCCGCCCGCCCACCCGCCATATAGCAATATGACGGACGCAAGGTGGTTCTCTCGTTCTGGGAGGACGTCATATGACGCAGCACGGCTATCAGCGGTGCTCTGTGTCCCTCGGACACAGCGAATCACCGATCATGGAAAGAGCTGAAGATGTTGGCTCGGTCATGTGATCAGCTGTGTCCAATCACATGTAAACAGGGAAATGCCGGTTATCGGCATTTCTCTCCTCTCGAGCTGTCACGCTGACAGCTTGTGAGGAGAGGAGAGCCGGTAATCTGCTTTCCACGGAGGGGACATGTACACTGATCATCAGGGCACTGATGATCAGTGTGCCCTGATGATCAGTGTAGACCCAGCAGTGCTACCTGTCAGTGCTCATCAGTGCCTCGTGCCAGTGCCCATCAGTGCCACATCAATGCCACATATCACTGCCTACCAGTGCACATCAATGCCACATATCAGTGCCCATCTGAGCTGTCTTTCAGTGTCACCCATCAGTGCCAGTCAGTGCCACCTATCAGTGCTGCCAATCAGTGCCACCTATCAGTGCTAGTCAGTGCCACCTATCAGTGCCAGTCAGTGCCACCTATCAGTCTGCATCAGTGCTGTCTATCAGTGGCCATCAGTGCTGCCTATCAGTGCCGCTTAACAGTGCCAGTCAGTGCCACCTAACAGTGCCAGTCAGTGCCGCCTAACAGTGCCAGTCAGTACCGCCTAACAGTGCCAGTCAGTGTCACCTAACAGTGCCAGTCAGTGCCGCCTATCTGTGCCATATATCAGTGATGCCTTTCAGTGCCCATCAGTGATGCCTACCAGTGCCTCCTCCTCAGTGCCTCCTCATCAGTGCCACCTATCAGTGTCCATCAGTGCAGCCTATCAGTGCCCATCACTGCAGCCTCATTAGCGCACATCAGTGAAGGAGAAAAATCACTTATTTACAAAATGTTATAACAAAAACTAAGATTTAAAATTTTTTAGTGGTTTTTGGTTTGTTTAAGAAAAAACAAAAAACCCAGAGGTGATTAAATACCACCAAAATAAAGCTCTATCTGTCACAAAAAAATGATAAAAATTTCATATGGGTACAATGTTGCATGACCGCGCAATTGTCACTCAAAGTGCGACAGCGCTGAAAGCTGGAAATTGGCCTGGGTAGGAAGGGGGTATAAGTGCCCTGTAGGCTTGTGGTTAAAAAAGCTTGTCCAATGCCACATTTTGAGGATAGTGTAAACAAGCCTTAACAAGTGCCAAAGATCTAAGGGCTTGTTCACACTTGACTCAAAATGCTAACAACTCTTAACAAATGCTAACTCTTAACGAATGTTAATGCGCGTTAATAGGTGTGTTTGACTCATGTTTAAAAAGGATCCCAAATACCCTATGTGCATTTTTGGTGGGTTTGACGCATGTTATAGGCACGTTAAAACTGAACCACAAACGCCTATAATAAACCGTAATGTTAATGTGCTGCAACCGCACCGCCACTGCCTTGCAAATACCTGCCAGCGCATTTGCAGAGCATTACCATAGACTTGAATGGAAGGCATTGAAAGGCTTCAAACCCCTCTAGACTCGACAGGCTTTAATTTTGAAGCAAAGTGAAGCGACGCGACGCTAAAGCTTCATGTTTTGATAATGTGAACAGCACTGTGGGCTGTTTATAGTATTATCTGTATTTTGTTAAAAACGCCCCTCAAATGCCTGCTTTCAATGCCATTGTGAATTTATTTTAAAAATGTAAGAAGTGGCATTATAAATGGAAACCAAAGAAAGCTGACTAGCATAACACTATATCACAAAAGGCTAGAGCCTCTCCCCCATTCAGCTTTTCTCTCCCTTTTTATTTGTTCAAAGAGTCATCAAAAACCTGTTGTGCAAAAATGAAAGGAATCTGACAATAGTGTAACACCTGTTTTAGAGCTCAAATTCAATTTCTTTGGCTAAAATTAAAGTGGTTGTAAACCCGTACATATACCCAGCGAAGTGACTGGCCTCAGGTGATACACATGAAACAAATCCTCCTACATAAGTTGTACCTGTCCACCTGTCTATCTGCAGTTTTTTCTTCTCTACATTCATTCCAGAGTTTATAAATCTTGTGTGAGCTGTCAGAAAACGGGATGGAGAGCTGAAATTAGACAGTGCAGAGCTCAGTGAGGAGAGCTCTGAGAGCTGATTGGAGGGAAGAGACACACCCCCTTCACACAGCTCACAGGAGGAACAGAGTTGAGGCTGTAAATCAATGACTGTGTGCTGGAGCTCCCTCTCAATCACCTTTTTTTCTTGGTCTCAGGAAAACTTGTCAGAAGTGATTTATGCAGATAGCAGAGGAACGAAGCAGCAGACAGAGAATAACACTCAGTGCTCTGGATAGAGAAAAGTACGCACTGTAGAGAGATATGCTTTTTCATATTTCATGTCTGAAGCTTACAACCACTTTAAACAATTAAAGTGATACTAAAAGGTAAAATGTTATAGAAAAATAAGTGTATATAACTTGTGAGCCAAAAACAGAGCAAGGGGTGGACTGACGTGGGGCCGGGTTTGGTTGCAAAGTGTACCATAATAAGGCTGCTGAAGCTGGTCTGTGGTCAGGAACGGGGCTGAAGGGAGAAGAGGCCGGAAGAAAGGTTGCATTTGAGGTTTAGAGATTGGGAGGAGTATGCAAGGGATTTTTTGAGCAGCTGAAGGAGGGAGAAATCCCTGTAGGGATATCCAGCGCACAAAGGGGAAAGCATTGTGGTATCTATAGGAAGTACCCTACATCCATCCTACAATGCAGCAATTGTGGCAGGTTCCAGGATATGTGAACCAAAAGTGTATCAAGCCTATTTATTAGGCATAGAAGGAGGTGAGCATACATCTTAATTGATTGAAGGATTCACGGAAAGTCACTATTTGATGTTTTTGATCACTTCATCACTATTATTAGACTATTATTTGAATAATGGGACTATTATTTTGATTCTTCTTTTTTAAATCACGATCACACAATTTGTATTTAATTATCTGTCAATATTTATTCTGAATAATTAGTTTTTGATTGTAGTCACTCATTATATATTTTATCTTGGTAGTTGGGAGTGCAACATTTACTGATATATGAACAAACATGTTATACTTTCCTGCTATGTGCAGTGGTTTTGCTCAGAGAAGCTCGGATCCTCCTCTTCTCAGGTTCCCCACAGGCTATCCTGGCTCCTCCCTCCTGATGGGTGCCCCTACAGAAAGCAGCTTGCTATGGGGGCACCCACTGCTCCGTGTGTCCATTCACACATTGAGCTGTGGCTTGGTGCTGCCCTTCTCTCTTCTCATTGGTCACTGGCTCTGATTGACAGCAGGGAGCCATTGGCTAATGGCTCAGCCAGTGAAGAGAGGGAATCCTGGGATAGTCGAGGCTCCAGTGCACATTGCTGGATTGAGAGGTGGCTTAGGGGAGTATTAGGGGGGGCTGAGGGGGATGCTGCACAGAGAAGGCTATTTATTTATTTCAGGTACTTATCGCGCTGTAAATTTACGCAGCACTTTACATATATATTGTGCATTCACATCAGTCCTAACTATTAGGGGCATACAATCTAAGGTCCCTAACTTACATCCATACACATACTAGGGCCAATTTAGACAGGATTCAATTACCTACCAGCATGTCTTTGGAGTGTGGAAGGAAACTGGAATACCTGGAGGAAACCCACGCAGGCACAGAGAGAACATGCAAACTCCAGGCAGGTGGCGCAGTGGTTGGGATTCGAACAAACAAACCTTGTACTGCCAGGCGGAAGTGCTAACCATTCAGCCACTGTGCTGCCCGTAAGTTTTGTATCTTCATGCATAAATGCATGAAGGTAAAAAACCTTGAGCCTTTACAACCATTTTAAAAACTGTGTGTTCATTGAAGCCGGAGGAAATGCAGCATTTTACGTACAAGAGATCACATCTTCTGGACCCGAGGCCAAGTGACTCAAGTGATACCACTAGTTTATGGTGGATCGGACAGATAACTGAATTCTGTTTTTACTTTGAAATAAGAATACAGAAAAAAACCTTCAAGGCCTCATTAAGCAAGTATATAATAAACATTTTCTCCTGGATATTGTGCTGACAATACAGCAAAAATGCAGATGTGATCTCTCTGTGCTGAGTCAACATACTACCCCTTCCCTCTATAGGCATTGTCTCAGGAATTTCCAGCAAAGGATAAAAGCATTAGACAAAACTGCTAATGTGCTCAGAGAGGCAGAACACACAGTGTAGGTGTGAGGTATGGGGAAAGTCGTTTCATATTGCTGCAGGCTAATGACTCTCCTCTTATTTTATATCTCTTTTGCAGAAATAATTGTCTAGGAATTAAGTTTTGTTTTTTAGACTAGGCTGCAGTTTCAGCAAGTGGCTTTCACAAAAACCTTGAGTAATGTAATACATCTGGCATTGGTCTCAAAACCCCTAGAACAATGTGGAACTTTTAGACATCTTTGTGTCCCAGTAATAAGCAATTTTTTTTATGAAGAAGAACAATTGTATTTGTTTGGAATGGCCATCTGTAATCAATAAAATGCATTGTGCCTCTGCATATTTTACAATGTAACAGTGACAGAATTTCCACATTGTAAAGTTTCTGTTGCTGTGCACACTGGCACCATGTGTGGCTCCTTGTCCACGTCACGTGTCGCCCTTTAAGGGTGGTGCACAACCACTTACAATGTTGGAGAGCTGCTTACAGATCATGCTATTAAATCTGTCATGAAAGTCTCTATAGCAAAGCTATGCTGAAAATGCTGGTCGGCTGGCTGCCACTCTGGACCTCTTGCTTCAGTACCTTAAATCACTGAACCAGAGCAAGCATTCACATGCAGAGAAGGACCTTTGAATTAGTAGATTTATATACTCTTACCAGGTCAGGGATTCAGGAACACGTGAAGGTAACAGGTTAGCATAACAGTTAGTCAACTTGAATTTTCAGAAAGGGCCAGAAATGAAAAGCGCCACATTTATTTCTGTATTTCTGTTAGTTACATAATCATTAATATATCATGAAATCTTATTTTTTAAAGTAATTTGTTTTGGTATCAGCTTCTTGCTGCCTCTCTACAGCAGAGCTCACATGGTGAGAGTAAGAAGCAGCATAACCTGCGCTACAACACAAGGAGCATGCTAATAGGGGGAGAGTAGAGTGATAGGGAGATGAGCCTATCAGTTTCCTTCTTCTCTTTTCACTGTCAAGTCACAGGCTGAAGAGGGAATCTGTAAGTAAAAGTGAAAAGATTGTAAACCTCAGACATGAAATACTGTATGAACAAAGCATGTCCCTCTGTAGTGTGTACTATATGTAATACCGTATGAACAAAGCATGTCCCTCTGTAGTGTGTACTATATGTAATACCGTATGAACAAAGCATGTCCCTCTGTAGTGTGTACTATATGTAATACCGTATGAACAAAGCATGTCCCTCTGTAGTGTGTACTATATGTAATTCCGTATGAACAAAGCATGTCCCTCTGTAGTGTGTACTATATGTAATACCGTATGAACAAAGCATGTCCCTCTGTAGTGTGTACTATATGTAATTCCGTATGAACAAAGCATGTCCCTCTGTAGTGTGTACTATATGTAATACCGTATGAACAAAGCATGTCCCTCTGTAGTGTGTACTATATGTAATACCGTATGAACAAAGCATG